TTTTGTTTTTGCCCCCATTTGTCATGAGCTGAACTCAAAGATCTAAGACTTTTTCTATGTACACAAAAGGCCTATTTCTCTCAAATATTGTTCACAAATCTGTCTAAATCTGTGTTAGTGAGCACTTCTCCTTTGCCGAGACAATCCATCCACCTCACAGGTGTTGCATATCAAGATATGATTAGACAGCATGCACAGGTGTGCCTTAGGCTGGCCACATTAAAAAGATCTTTGAGTTCAGCTCATGAAAAATGGGGGCAAAAACAAAAGTGTTGCGTTTATAATTTTGTTCAGTGTATATATTTCTGATTCAGAAATATACCACATTTTCCAGAAAATAAGTTGCATATGGGTCAAAATTGCATTGTTGATAGAAAAAAAGCACAGATAAGTCTCTTTATTGTGTAAGTCACATTTATTATTGCATTCCGAAATAATGTAAAATATAGGTGAATAAAATAATTTTTACAAGCATTATAAACACTGTTATAAGTATTTTAGTACCCCTGACTCCACAATAAATCTGTTAAGTTTAACGGCATTGAAAAGTACGTATAAAAGTATCAAACAAAAAAATATAAGTATAAAACTAACATAAATTATAGTGGCATTCATTATGAACAATATTTATTATAAATGGAAACTTTAATAATAATAAAAACTTACCAGCACAAGGGAAATATATATAATTGATATATATACACCGGTATATAAATAATAAATATACGCAGTACACACACACATATTATGTAAACAAAAACTTTTATTTTGGATGCGATTAATCGTTTGACAACACTATATAAAACTGATTGTTCAGAAACACTATTTTAAGGTTCACACACGCACCTCAGCTGAATTCCATATCAACGTCGCAAGTTTCAATGTTTGCTCGTTCATCTGGTAAACCGCTCGATGTGTTCACGGTTAAATCTTGCTGAATTGTTCCTGGTTGTCCTCCAGGACCTGGGTGCGCTGAGAGACATCGTGATCAGTGCCAACCCCGCCCATCCTCCTCTGTCCCTGCTGGTTCTTCATGCTCTGCTGTGCCAGCGCTACCAGGTGCTCTCCAGTGTGCATGTGCACTCCTCTGTGAGCGCTGTGCCCCCTCCGCTGCTGTCCTGCCTGGGCCCGCGGCACATTGACAGCTACGCCCGCCAGCGCTTTCAGCTCGGCTTCACTCTCATATGGAAAGATGGTGAGAGGGTAAAAAGAGAGCAGCACTAGGGTTTATCAGAATGCGTTTTGCTGGAGGGCCGCTGTATCTTGTGCATTCAAGGAACCGTGGTTCTCTTGTATGAGCAGAGTGAAACTGATCTGCTTAACGCTCCTCTAGAGGATGTTAGTGTAAGACTCAACTAGGAAAGAGGCCAAAACGAGTAGCTTGAAAAGCTTTTGTGGAGGTGTCATTTGAAATACAACACTTCAGAATGACTGGAACTGAATTCGAAGGTGTTTTTGGTGTGCAGTGGGGTCTGATTAACTAAAAATTGCCAGATTTTGGAACATTTCTAAGGCAACTTCCCACATATTACTGTGTAGGGAAATCTTGGGTTTCTATCAGACATTTAGAGACCTGGAAACCAAAATTGGTGTGTAAACTAACTTTCAGAAGTTTGGCTTTGTGTTTTTGAATTATGCTCACCAAGGCTGCATTTGTTTGAGCAAAAATACAGTAAATTAAGTTGCATTTAAAATAACTTTTTTATATTTTATTATATTTAATGTATGAAACCATGATCCGCACTCACAATAGTCTGCTTTTAGCATTTTATTTTACATTTATCACCAGCAACACAAAACGCAAACCTTTTGGTTCAGTTCATTGAATAATTCAATCCCTCCACACACTTTTTTTTTTAAAAACATTTTAAAAAATCATCAACCAGTGTTAAGTCTCTAAACACACACATACATTCCATTCAAATGCTGGTCAATTTCCATTCGTATATAGCACACATTTTTACGTCTACCAATACATTACATAAGACATGATTAAACATGACTATGGCTATGACATGAATCACAGAGGATCCCATATTTATAAAAGTTAAAAATAGTTAATAATTAGACAATCACCAATATCAACTACCACAATTAAATATCAAAATACATAACAATGGACAGTTATTAAAGTGATTAAAGGTACGGTGATTAAAGTCAGCAGAAATAATCACTGATCTTCACTTTTTAAATACTCACGATACATTCCACAAAATATTCAAATTGATTCGACCAGTTATGTATCATTAATGGAAAACAGACTAAATCAAATTCCTCATTTATGAAAATGAATTATTAAACGCAATGAAGCTGAAACGTTTGTGTTTTTTCGTGCTGGGGATAAATGTAAAATCAAACTTTTTTTTAGCGAGTGTGGATCATATATTAAGTAATTAAATAGATTGACCCACCAAAATAAAGTATTAAGTGACAAACGAGCACAATACAAACTGTTTTTTGGAAATCACAACTGTTTTATTTGAAATTTATTCCTGTGATGCAAAGCTGAATTTTCAGCATAATTTCTCCAGTCTTCAGTGTCACATGATCCTTCAGAAATCATTCTAATATGCTGATCTGCTGCTCAAGACACATTTCTTATCATTAGGGATGTAACGATTCACTCAACTCACGATTCGATTCACGATTTTGATTTCTCGATTCGATTCACAATTTTGATTTCACGATTCGATTCACGATTTATTTAAAAAATATCTGCATGAAACCGAAACAGCAGACGAGCTGTACGAGACGCAGATTCACTCTCTGCCAGCAGGTGGCGCTTAAAGCATTTCCTTGGTTTCCGCTGTAAACAAAGCAGCGCTGCACTTGTGAACTTTGAAATGCATTATACAGAGGCAAGATGAAAAGAAAAAATACCATCTACACTTTTCTAAAGACAGTAAGTTCCCCTCAGACATACATTCATATAAACTCCTACCCCTAATTGAATCGCGATTTGTTTAGCATCTCAACCGATTTAAATCGTCATATATTTTAATCAATTTTCAACCGGCTCGCGGTTAATCGTTACATCCCTACTTATCATGCTTCATATTTCTGTTGAAACATGATACCTTTTTTTCAGTATTCTTTGACTGGTGTTCAGCAAGATTCTGACTAATGCTATAATGCTAAAAAAAACAACACATTGTAAATGAGAATCCTTTGACACTTCACAGAGCACTTGCACAAATGTCTGTTCTCTGTGCTGCTGGTACTGCAGGAAGACTGGTGGTGTTACATTTTTAAAATGTCAGTATCAATGTGGTTCAGGAGTACGGGTGCTTTTGGCAGAACTAGATTTGAATGGGAATGTTGGGTGTTTATACCTGTCAGACCTGTTGATTGTGGTGGACTACTCCTCCGAAAACTATTTGGCTACCAGTCAACATAAAAACAAAATAAAGCTGAAAGGAAGAGTGCATTCATTTAAAGGCAGAGCAGATTATTACATTGACAAACAATTACGAACACAAATTGCTTTTACTTTGTGCACTGATAAAAAAAAAATATATATATATATATATATATATATTTTTTTTAAATTAAAATAAAATTAAAAAAAAAAAATAAAAAAAAATAA